GGTAAGATTTCAGTGCCAGCTCCCTCATTTGGAAGGCTCTTTTTCACCCTTATTTTGCAGTATTTATGCCCTTTTTCATGTTGAAAGCTTACTTGTCTATTGGCCTATGGTTCTTACCTCAATTAAAAGTGTTGGTTTTAGTCTTAAAGTCACAAAATAGCACAGAATATAATTATCTACCTAGGCATTAAGAAGTAACTTGTCTGGATGATAAATTGTACAGAGAAGCCCCTTCTGAAAACTGCCCTTCAATAGGTAAGGAATGCAATTTCAAAATTATAGAACGTATTTCCTCTGGAACTATATTTGTTTTTTACATGCTCTGCATCCAAAGGATGCATAATATTATCTATTCTTCCTGCTGAAATGGTTTAATCAAAAGCTACTGTAAAGTTTATTAATTTTGTTTTAATTGTTTTTATGATTACAGCCATATTCATATTACTGCAGACTATTCAGCCATATCTCAGATAGTGAGCTGACATTCACTTTCAGTTAAGCATGACTGGGGGTCATTTACAAAGGAGGTTTTCCAGGGCCCATCACTCTTTGCTAGAAATAAGGACATTAGGAGTCCTTTTAAAGGTAAAGGAAAAAACCATGGGCAGGACCAGGTTTGGGAGCTTTTTTGATCTCCTTTGCAGCCTTGGCTTTAACCTGCTGAAATTCCAAAAAGTGGAAAAGAAGGGATTTTTGTTTAGAAAGCTGCTATCCCTGAAAAGATAGACAAAATGTTTAAGTAGGAATGTTGTGTTGACTTTTATCATTGTCATTTTATTGTCATCATTATCAAGCACAGTTACAGTTACAGTTTTACTTAGTGACTGCTTTCCTTAATGGTTCAGCTACCAGTTCCAATTGTGGTCGCTAAATGAGGACTACCTGTATGCTACTTAAACAGCAGGTTGCATTATAGTGTTTTGGTTTACTTAATTACCTTTTCAACTCTGAAAAGGCAGTACAGGTTGTGAGAACTCTGTCTCTATCACACACCTATCTCCTTGGAATGATCAAGCCACAAAGGAGATGGAATGAAGACTCAGAGGGCTTCTGGGGGAGGCATGTGGATTCAGCCATTCCAGTACTGTTACATTGTCATTAATTTATTACACTTTATTTTCATGTACCATTAATGTACTAATGTTTTTCCTTTGGGTAGAACATCCACCCAAATAAAAATCAAGATGAATGATAATTGTGGATTATTTGATATATTCAAATTAATAAAATACATTCTATGTAATAAAAACAATTAACCAAGTTAGTTATATATCTAATACCAATGCTTAATACTCCTCAATATTTTGTTCTCTTTTATTAGCAGGATTCCAAACAATGTGCAAAAGATACGTATCTGCAGGAGGACATCTGCTAAAACTTATTTGAATGCAAATGCTATTACTGCAAGACAAAGTTAACAAAATGCTTTAAGATTCCAAAGGACTGATTTTCCATACCTAATAGAAATTTCTATAAATTTTGAAAAAACCATATAGAACACAATTTCTCATTCAAGTAATATTCAAAACTCAAAGATATTTAAATGCTGTACCTGCAACAAACATTAATGCAGAATATCCTTGTTTAGGATTTCAGCTAACCAGACTCCAAGATACTCAGTTTCATTCCCACTCCATCCATTAGTTTTCAAGGTTTTCCACACTGAGTGCCCTATGACCACAAAATTTATGTTAACTTCTTTCTGAGTTACTTTTGGGTTTTGTTTTGCCCCCTAAGAGGTTTCCTCAAATACTTATTGTATTTCTGCAAAGGTTAAACTTCCTCTGAGTCTTTTAATGTTTTGGGTTAGGGTTAGGGTTAGGGTTTGGCTACAAGGTTGTTGGCACTCAGCAGCTGAATTTGCTATTAAAGAGAGTAAACAATGGAAATTAAAAACTTACATGATAGGACAGAAGAGATCCATTATGCAGATTCATTAAATACTGCTAAATATTGAAATTCCAGTCCAGTTTAGGGTTATGGAAAAGTCCTATTAAGGAGAAGTGACATGTATTTGCAGATTTGGAAAAAAAAAAAAAACATAAAAAATTGTTGTGGAAATAAAGTTTTATCCCCACTACTTCCAATAGCACCACTCTTTTTTACTTCTTACAGCTGCTATTTACCAAAATGTAAAAAGACAGTAATTGGACAAATCTCTGATATCTCATATAGTTGAAACTTACAACAAATTGATTTAGGTTTGGAGCACCAATCAGTAAATATTTTATCTTAATTTATATGTATCTACAGGATATAATATATTTTGATTAATTTTAAAAATTTGGAAATTAGGAGGCTGTAACAGTAGATTCAATAATTTGTCTAGAGTCACTTAATATTGAGATATGTGGCAAATATATACAAAATCTATTAAACTTGCTAATACTATAAACAATGTTTATCACAGTGTAGATTTATTTTCTTCCTAGCGTTTTCCCGCAAGTGCAATGTCTACTTTTTTCAGATCAACAAGTGTTGAACCATTGATTGTGACAGGAATTGAGAAATCAGTTTGTTGCCTGATCCTGATGTCATGGAGTGAGAGACTGACCCAAAATCTCCCAGCCATGTCTAAGGTGGAATTAAAACTCACTCTCCTGGTTTCTAGCCTGGTGCCTTAACCACTAGACCAGCGGTTCTCAACCTGGGGGTCGCGACCCCTTTGGGGGTCGAAGGGCCATTTCACAGGGGTCGCCAAAGCCCTCTCTCACCCCCCCACGCCTTCACTCACCCTCACCCTCTGCCTGTTGGATCGCCGTTCGCCGTTTGCTTACCCCGCCCACTCCCAATCTATTGCTGCCTCCAGAGTCCCAGCTGATGGCTAGAGGGGAAAAAACTGTTTAAATTCTTGCCGCGGGACTTCAAAGGGCTGCCCTACAGCTGATCAGTGTTAAAAGAAAACAAATGAATAGACCGGTGTCTGCAAAAATAGAAAAAACAGCCCCTTTCAGCTTCAGCATAGGTTAATTACCATAAATTGATTTGATCAGCCTCCGGACTCTCAGCTGATTTGCTCTCAGCTGTTTTGCAGAGGGCTCTGTTGTTAGCTAGCTGCAAAGAGGTAAATTCCTGGAGCAGATTTTTTTTCCCCTAGCTATGCTGAAAAAGAGAAATTGAAAGTAAAGCAGGGTCTTTGCTGCAAGGTGACAAAATGAGGCAGAGAGAGATTTCTTTTTCTTTTTCCTCACCAAAAAAGGTAGGTGCAAAACTGCAAACAATGGGAAATTTAGGGCAAAAGAGGAGGTTCAAGATTTTAAAACACAAAAGAAAAAAAGCTCTATTTAACTAGGGAATTGTAATAATTGAGATACTATTAATTATATATTGTGTTGAAAGCAGAAACGGTTAAGTTGTGGTTTCAAGGAATATATGGGGGAAATTATTTGGTTCATTATTATTGGTAAATTTAATTAATTGATTTGTAAGAAATTGGATTGCATGGAAATAATTGGAATATTCATGTTCATATTGATTAATATACAAAAAAGATAGTTATATAACTAATTTATATTAAAATGTTGAATTTGTATTAAACAACTGTATTACATAATTACATAATTAACCAATGTGAGGATGGATATAAAAATAGATGACAATGCGAAGGGGTATAATATAGAATAGAAGAGAAAAATTGAATTTGATTAAGATTAGAGATGAGGATGAAGGGTAATATTGGTTTTTTTTAAAAATAGATGAGGAATAAATATGGTAAAAAAGGAAATATAGAAATTGTAAATTTAATTGAAATGACTAAACACTGTGTTGGAAGAAATATCCTTCCGGGTTCTGCTCCAAGTGGGGAAAAAGACACTGGAAACATGGAGACTGCTTGAAAAGATGGTTTAATGGTGGACAGGATCACATGGCTTGAGTTCCTGAACAGAAAAGGGGCAGATACAGTAAATCTTCGGGTTTTTATGCTCTCACTGGCTTTGCATTTCTTGGGGCCCCGAAAGAGTATCCTGATTGGTTGTCAGACTCCCAGGGGATGGGGGTCTTAGCTAGCCTTGCTGGCTGATGGTCACATGTGCTTCCCAGGTCACATGCTTCCCAGGTCACGTGTGGTGCGTGCTAGATGGGGCCCATTGCATTAGTTTTTGTTGCTATTGTGTTGCAAATGTCCTTTGACAAAGGATTGACTTTCTGCCTCTGGCCCATTAACAAAGGGTGGGGGGCAGGAAGGTGGGAGCTGCTTTGTCTGTAAAATATGCTTCTCCATTTCTCATCCAGGGAAATATAATATTTTGCCTTTTTAATATTTCCCAAAATATTTCATTCTTCTAGGAAAGGGGTGGGTGCTAACCTCCTACAACTGTTTAAATTTGTGAACCGCCAAATACACTGTTCAAAGAAAATACGTTGTATGTTTGTATGTGTGTTTCTAATTATTGCTATTTATTCATATTTGTTCTCTTTTATTCTTTAAAGTTTAACAATTCATTCTTTATCTTAATATCTTTATATTTGTTTGGGGTTGGCTTTCTTCCCTTTCATCTTTTTTATTGTACAGCAATCTTTCTCCTCAAACCTACCACCTCTGTCTTTTCTTTCCTTCTTACTTTCTCTTCTTCTTCTCCCTACTTCCTCTTCCTTTCTCCTTCTCCTCCTCTCTTCCTCCCTCTCTTACCCTCACTCCTACTCTAATTTCCCTTCCCTTCCTTCATCCCTCTCTATTGCTGTATCCTTTTATGCATATGGACTACTCAGAGGGCTGAAAAAGTTATTTTTGACTGGTCCTCGCACTTTTGACCAGTCCTCGAACTTACGACTGTCCTCACAATTTACGTTTTTGCCCTATCTTGTCACCATGGTGAAGAGAAGCAGTTGTGAAATGAGTGACACGGTTGTTAAGAATGCTACAATGGGCATAAATGATGACCAGTCATAACTGCGAAGACCGGTCAAAAGTGCGAGGACCTGTCAGAAATCACTTTTTTCAGCCCTCTGGGTAGTCCTTTTGTGCACAGGGACTACTCAGAGGGCTGAAAAAGTTATTTTTGACTGGTCCTCGCACTTTTGACCAGTCCTCGAATTTACGACTGTCCTCACATTTTACGTTTTTTGCCCTATCTTATCACCATGTTGAAGAGAAGCAGTTGTGAAATGAGTGACATAGTTGTTAAGAATGCTGCACAGGCATAAATGTGAGGATGGTCATAAGTGTGAGGACCAGTCAAAAGTCCGAGGACCTGTCAGAAATGACTTTTTTCAGCCCTCTGAGTAGTACACATAGTAGTACACATAGCCATGGCCACCTGGTCACATGACCAGCTAGCCATGCCCACCCAGTCACATAACCTCCAAGCCACGCCCACAAAATAAGCCACGCCCACAGAGCCGGTAGTAAAAAAAATTAGAACGCACCCCTGGTTGGGGGTCACCACAACATGAGGAACTGTATTAAAGGGTCACGGCATTAGGAAGGTTGAGAACCACTGCACTAGACCAAACTGGCTCTCAGTATAGATTGGTGTGTGTGTGTGTGTGTGTGTGTGTGTGTGTGTGTGTGTGTGTGTGAGTGAAATTGTTTTTAAAAGGGAAGTTTTCTTAGAATACATGTCACAATGAAACAATTTCATTATAGAATATTTAGTTTGGAGAGTTGTGGACAAGGAACTTACTTTTTTGTAGACTGCTAATTTTCAATTGCATTACTTTTATTGGTTCTATAATTATATAAAATATTGATATTGAACAGACTTTATTTTCTACTATGTGTACCTGTTTAAAAAAATGGGTTCTAAACAGTGGTGAAATCTGAACCGGTTTGCTACCGGTTGCAAACCGGTTGCTGTGCACCAAGTGCATGCTATGCGCAGTGCCAAGTGTGCGCCATGTGCACACATGCGCAGTGTGCACCAAACTCACATTATATGTGCATGCATAGTGCACACAAAACACATGCTGCACGCACGTGTGTGCACAGTACACGCCAATCACGTGGAAAAAGGGGGTTTCGGAAGGTAAGTATAACAGCGAAGGGGGGAAACAGCTGTGCCGTGCGATTTAGATTCACAAGAAAGCAGGATTTCCTGTTTTCTAGCAATTTTAAATCACGCGGCATAGCTGATCGTCGGAAATACCGGTTCGGAGGAACCGGTAGGTTTTTTTTAATTGCTGGTTCGCCCAAACCGGTAGTCTTTATTACTACTGGTTTGCCCAAACCGGTGCAAATTGGTAGGATTTCACCGCTGGTTCTAAATAGATTAATTATAAACAGTTAATTTATTTATTGATTAATTGACTATAATCCTATAGTCTGTTTTAAAATAAGTGCCAAATATTTAAATGAACCTTATATTCCAATAAGTGGCTATAGGACTTCAGCCTAAAATCAGTGATTAGCATTCCATTCACTGAACTCAATGCTAGCTGTAATCAACAAACATTACTGTTTGGTATTGTAAGAAACTGAAGAAGACTCTTTAAAATGGAACTGCTGTAAAAAGTGTGTAGTATATATTGGCAAGAATTAAATTCACCAGTGTGTATCACTAAAGAAGAGCTTGATCAATTAATGACTGGCTATTGGCATTAAACCAGTAGTTTCAAGTTACTATATGGCATAGCACTCACCAGCACAGATGCTGAAATATGTGATTAAATTTTGAAAGACAAGAGAAGAAAAGTGATATGCACCAAGTTGAATAAATACATTAGAATTCAGGATCATTTAAATACATAACCACAAAGCCTAATCTGTCCCTATTGTGACCCAGAAACCAGAAATTGAAATAAATAACTAAGGATATACTGCTATGTACATATCCCTAGAAATAAGCCCCACTAGTAAATAGTTTATATTGTAGATTCATTATACTGCATATTCATTGCCTGGCTGTTTCTGCATTGTTTTCCTTATACCTATACCTTACACTAGAAGGATGTGATGGCTCAGTGGCTAAGACTAAGATACTGAGCTTGTCGATTGAAAGGGCAGCAGTTTAGTGGTTCGAATCCCTAGTGCCACGTAACGGGGTGAGCTCCTGTTACTTGTCCCAGCTTCTGCCAACCCTAGCAGTTCGAAAGCATGTAAAAATGCAAGTAGAAAAATAGGGACAACCTTTGGTGGGAAGGTAACAGCGTTCCGTGCGCCTTTGGCATTTAGTCATGCCGGCCAAATGACCACAGAATCATCTTTGGACAGCACTGGCTCTTCGGCTTTGAAATGGAGATGAGCACCGCCTCCTAGAGTCGGAAATGACTAGCACATATATGCGAGGGGAACCTTTACCTTTTATACCTTATACTGCTGAAAAGTCATTTATCTGAGCTAACATATTACAAGAAATTTAAAGCCTGACAAAATTTTGCTTACCAATATGATGAAAGGCAATTTTAATTTTTTCACTCTCCAATTTTCCCACAACTCATTAATCCTGAACACTCATTTTTTTTTTTGTTTCAAAGGAAACTGATTTAATTAAGAAAAGCTCACATATACCTTTAAAGCTCACCTCATTTGGAGCAATGAGCTCACTTTTAAAAATGATAAAAAGTTTGGAGAGCTCAGTCCACTTTCTCTAGTTAGGTGTCTCTCTATCATCACAGCATGAGGGTTAATTCCTGTGGCCTCCCCGGATGATAAAACATGAAGGTGTCACTTTCTGAGCCAGCTGATTCACAGGTTTTATAGCAGTAAGAGACCCATTGCCTCTAACTTCAACCAAATGAGATTGTGCATCCCAGTAGCAACACTGCTGTTTGTCTGCTTCAAATGGGCACCTTTTCTTAGAAGTCCTGCAGAAACCTGCACAAGAAGGGCGGCTATATGGACTGTCTTTGTAGCATTTCACCACAACAAGGACTACAACAGTCAAGAGAAATATAAAAGAGACAACACTTAGTGCCACAGTGAGATAAAGAGTTATTTCAGAATAATTTCTGGAACCTGTAATGTGTCTTACAATGTCAGGAACGATTTGGGAATCCCTGTTCACCACAATCATGATTGACACAGAGGAAGATAAGGGTGGCTCTCCGTTGTCCCTCACTATGATGGTAAGATTGAATGTAGCCTCTGTTGTCTCCCTCAGTTTTTGAGTAGTCCAAATTTCCCCACTGTGAACCACTACTCTAAAGGTGTCTGGAACAGAGGTTTGGGCTAGATGAAAAAACAGCCATGCATTTTGTCCCGAGTCTCCATCAATGGCTATCACTTTAGTGATTAAGTATCCAGAACTGGCTGACTGAGGAATCATCTCTATGGCTGTTCAATTGTTTATAGAGATGGGATACAAAATTTGTGGCACATGATAATTTTGATCCAGCACATAGATGTGTACGGTGGCTGTGCTGCTGAGAGATGGCATCCCTGAGTCTTGAGCCTGCACAACAATCTGGAATTCCCTCAGCGTTTCATAGTCAAAGGATCTGACAGCATAAATGTTGCCAGTTTCAGACTGAATTGAGACATAAAAGGACACAGGTAGCCCCTGAATTTCTCCCAATATATATATATATGATGCATTAGCATCACAATCAATGGCCTTTGTTGTGCACAGAGAAGATCCAGGAGCATTGTTCTCAGATATATAAACAGAGTAAGAGAGTTCTTCAAACTGTGGTGAGTTGTCATTGATATCAGAAACATCTATTTTAATTATTTTATGGGAAGAGAGTGGAGGTGTTCCAGCATCTGTGGCAGCGATTGTAATGTTGTAACTAGAAGTTCTTTCATGATCAAGGAACTCCTCAGTGACAGGAGTATAAGAATTTTTTGAAAGAATTAAGTTTAAAAGGAAGGTTGGCAGGAATGTTTATATCGACTTGCCTGTTCAGGCCAGAATCCAAGTCAATAACACTCAGCATAGCTACTACAGTTCCAAACTGAGCATCCTCAGAGACTGGGCTATACAAGAAAGTCAGCACCACTTCAGGGGCATTATCATTGGCATCCACAATGTTAACAAACACCTTACAGTGACCAGTCACAGGAACAGAGCCCTTATCTGTGGCTTGCACGTAGATTTCATAGGAGATGTCTTCCTCGTAGTTCAAAGATCCATTGACCCTCACCTCTCCTGATACTGGATGCACAGTGAACAGTTGACACACTTTCTGTGGAGTGTAATTGCTAAAAGAATACAGCAAATCACCATTGGAGCCCTCGTCTGGATCCAAGGCCTTCAGTTTTACAACTAGCATGCCTGGCTCTATGTTTTCTAACAGGGTCACCATGTAAATGTTACAATCAAATTCTGGGTGGTTGTCATTCATATCTAAGACCTGCACAGAGATTTGGGCAGTGGCAGTGTTGTGGCCCGCCAGTGGCCTGCGCGGATCATGGCTGATCCCGACGATGAGGATGCTGATGTGGTGTTGCACCAGCAGCCTGGGCAGCTGGCATTCGCGTCGGACAGCGAGGAGGCTGAAGAGGATGTGGTGCCAAAGGCAGAGACTCAGCCAGGGCCTTCAGAACCTCCAGAGGCTCCTTCAAGTGGAGAGAGTGAAGTGAAGGAGCGTCTTCTCAATGCTCGAGCACGCAGGGCTGCCAAAAGGCAGGAGTGGCTACTCAGGAGGAGGAGGTCTCCTCGAGAGTAAGGCTTGAGGATAATTGGCCACTCCCTTAGCCTATTTAAGTCACACGCCGTTAGTAAGTTTCTTGCTGGAAACAACTTGTAATTATCATCAGAGCATTTTTGGAAAAGTCTTATCGTATCTTGTTTTCTGGGCTGGTTGCCAACCTTTGCCGGACTTTGGTTTATTCTTGCTACTTAATAAATTTGATAAGGACCATTGGTGTGTGTCAATATCCTCGGGAATCCGGAGCTGGGGCAGAACAGGAATATTTGGCAGGATTGCCTCCATCCAAGGCAACCAGCATCAGCTGCTGGTGAGTGCTCTGTTCTCGGTCCAGGGGTTGGAGCAGTACCAGCTCCAAGAGTTTGCTGCCAGGCTTCAAGTTCTGCAGATCCAGCCCGAAGTGCTCGCTGGGGGTGAGCTGGTAGTTTTGCACCGAGTTAGAATCATGTTGTGATCTTGCGTGCTCTTGATAGGAAAGCGAGACCCCGGCACAGTAGATTCACTGATCTCTAAGCGATACTCCTGCCAGGGGAACCTGGGGGCATTGTCATTGATGTCCAGCACTTCCATTTCTACATCGTGAACTTGTACAGGCTGCTTGACCACCAACTCCAAGCTAAGGAAGCAAGAAGTGCTGAACTCACACAGGGCTTCCCGGTCAATTCGTTCCTTCACCACTAGGAGTCCGCAGCCAGGATCCAGAGATAAGTACTGCTTCCCACTTCCCGAAGTCAGCCGGGCTCCTCTTGACGCCAGACGTCAAGGCTCCAAGGCCAAATCTTCTCCTACCTTGCCTACCACAGCGCCTCGCAGCAGCTCTTCCCTTACCTGGTAGATGAGCTGCCCAGCGGCAGGTCCCAGCATAGCAGTTGCAGCAGCAGCAGCAGGATAAGCCTAAGCGTTTCCGCCCAATGGTGGCACCAGGAGCTGGACATCATAAAAGCGGGGAAGACGCACTCTCAGCTGCCCGGGGAAGATGCACTCTCAGCTGCCCAGCGGGAGGGGCTCATCAGCGGCTACTGGGCCCCATCTGCAGCCGCTGGCGGCGCCAATGCCGCTCTGCGCTGGTCCACCCAGGTCTCTCACTCTGGCCTGCAGCTGCAATAGCCTTTACGTCCCTCGAGGACAGCCTGGTTGCTCTCCATTTCCTTCCTTCCTCAGCGGATGACGCGGTCACTGGCTTGTTCTTTTGCTGCTGCTGTTACCGCTGGGTTTACCAGGAGTGAGCAGAGAGGTGGGGCGTGCTCAGCTCGGCTGACTCCATTTCAGCACTTGGTCTGGGAACGGGCGTTGGTCTTACCTGATATGCCTTTTCTCGATCAGGCGCCCACGGCAGTCAGGACTGGGAAGTGACACGCCTGGTATCCATTAGGACCGAGTCTACTGGAACTTTAGCAATGCCTCTTCCTGCTTCTGTCCAATTTTGAGGCGAGGGAGTCCAGCAGACTGATGTGTCTGTAGAAAGAGAAGCAGAGAAATAAAAGTCCTCCCACCCCACTGGAACCCAGGTACGGCCGGAACGGGTGGGGCTAACTGCCCTGGGTGCCTGATCGAGAAAGGGCGTATCAGGTAAGACCAATGCCCATTCTCCTATTTGGCGCCCACGGCAGTCAGGACTGGGACATACCAAAGCTTGGTGTCTCCGAGGGAGGGAGAGGGCTGGACCTGATGCAGAACTCTCCTGCCGAAGGCTGCATCCGCCAAAGCATAGGAGTCCAGCCAGTAATGGTGGATGAAAGGGGTCACAGAAGACCAAGTTGCGGCCTGGCAGACTTCCTCCAACGGGCCTGGGTGGACCATGCAGCGGAGGTGGCAGCGCTTCTAGTTGAATGCGCAGTGATGTTGCTGGGAACCGGCAGGGAGTGTGCTTCGTAGGCTGAGGCTATGGTGGCCCTGATCCAACGCCCATAGTGACAGAAGAGACACGGGCGCCCATGGAGGAAGGCTGGAACAAGAGGAAGAGGGCTTCAGTTCTCCGAAAGGACGCTGTTCGGTCTACGTAAATCTTGAGCGCCCTGCGAACGTCCAGCTTATGCCACACATACTCCTGCCGATGCTGTGGCGAAGGGCAAAAGTTTGGGAGTGTGAGCTCTTGAGCCCTGTGAAAGATGGAGTTAATTTTCGGGACAAAGGCTGGATCTAGGCGAAGGACCACCCTGTTCATGTGGAAGATGCAGAGATCGGGACGAATGGACAGGGCGGCTAGCTCCGATATATGGCAGGCGGCGGTAATAGTAATCAGGAATGAAACCTTGGAAGACAAGAATTTGAGGTTGACCTCCCTTAGCGGTTCAAACAGAGGGCCCGTTAGGGCCGTCAGGACTCTATTCAGGTCCCATGTAGGGAACCGGTGGACCATGGGAGGTCAAAGGTTGGTGGCACCCCTCAAGAAGGACCGAATGAGCAGATCATTGGCGACAGAAGTAGATGAGCCACCTGCAAGGATCGAAGAAAGGGCGGCCACCTGCCGTTGGAGGGTGTTTGGGGCTAGGCCCGCTACAAAACCGTCCTGAAGAAAATCCAAAAGCTGGACAACGGAAACCTCCGTAGCCACAATGCCCCGTTTCCGACACCAACTGGAAAAGGTCCTCCAAGTCAAGTCGTAGAAGGGTGACGAGCAGCTTGGATGGTGTCGATGGCGCCCGGGGAGACGAAGGCCCTGGTTAAGAGGAGCCGCTCAACCTCCAGGCGATTAGCTGGTAGGACTGGGGGTCCGGATGGAGAAGAGAGCCCTGCAGCAAGGAGATCCGGTTGCCGGGAATCCGCCAAGGAGGAGCGATGGAGAGGGACACTAAGTCTGCAAACCACGGGCGGCGTGGTCAGTGAGGAGCCAGAAGAAGGACCTCCGCCTTGTCCCGAAGCAACTTCCGCACGACCTTGGAGATGAGTGGCAGAGGACGGAAGGCATAAAGGAGCTGCTCCAAGGGCCAAGGGCTGTGTAACGCATCCACCGCCTCTGCCCCCAGAGTGGGGAAGAGAGAGAAGAAGCGGGGAAGCTGGTGATTGCTGCCCGAGGCAAAAAGGTCCACCAAGGGGGTGCCGAAATGGGTGGAGAGCTCCCTGAAGAGAAGAGGATGGAGGCTCCATTTGGCCTGGTTGATCAGGGTGCGGCTGAGGGAGTCTGCTCGAGCGTTCGCCGTCCCTGAAATATGCTCCGCCTGGAGCGAAGACAGGTGGGATTCCGCCCACAGAACCAATCAGAGGGATTCCTGCATGAGGGACCGAGAGCGAGTCCCCCCCTGCTTGTTCACGTGAGCCTTGGCCGAGACGTTGCCGTGAGGACCAGGACGTCTCGACCAAGGACATGAGGCTCGAAGCTTAAAAGAGCTAGGTAGATGGCCCTCAGTTCCAGTATGTTGATGTTGAGGCTCTGTTCTTGCTGAGACCAAAGGCCCTGCGCCATGTGAGACTCCAGATGGGCGCCCCATCCTGATAGGCTGGCGTCCATCGTGACGACAATCCTGTGGACGTCCCCGAACGAAGATCCCCGGGATACCACTTGCGATGTCCACCAACGCAGAGAGTCGACTACAGCTGGAGGCAGAGGAATTCTGGAGGCCGAAGTGCCGTTGAACGCCCGTTGGTATGGCAGCAACAGCCACTGTAGCTCCCTGCTGTGGAGGCGAGACCACGGCACAATGCCGTAAGTGGAGACCATCTTACCTAACAGACTAGAGAGCCCTAGGAGAGAGGCGGAACCTCGCCTCCGGAAGCAGGTTGCCATGTCAGAGAGACTAGATTGGCGATCCTGCGACAGGAAAATCTGCAGGCCTACAGAATCAATGACTGCCCCTAGGTGCTGGAGGTGTGTGGCCGGTGATAAATGGCTCTTAGACCAATTAATGGAAAAGCCGTGTCTTTGCAAGATGGAAATAACAGAGGAAATGTCCCAGAGAGCTTGCGCGTGGGACTGGGAAAGGATGAGAATATCATCCAAATAATATAGGGCTCTGATAGGAATGGAACCTATATGGCCCATGAGGGCAGCCATTATTTTAGTAAACACCCTGGGGGCTGAGGAAAGGCCAAAAGGTAAGGCCGCATACTGGAAATGGTGGCCATTATAAGAAAATCAAAGAAATTTGCGATGGGAAGGGAGGATGGGGATGTGGAGGTAGCCCTCGGTTAAATCGATGGAAGACATAAGGTCCCCCTGCCTGATGCAGAGCAGAATGGTGTGAAGCGACTGCATCTTAAACTGGCAGTAGATGATTTAAATTGAGAATAGCCCTCCAACCCCCTGAAGCCTTTGGGACTAGGAATAAACGGGAATAGAACCCGTGACCATGTTGAGAAGGAGGTACCGGTTAGATGGCTTTAATGGCCAGAAGGTGTTGGATGGCCTCGTCAACCTGGGCACGTTTGGAGGGGTCCAGAGACATGGGACAACGAAGGAAGAGCTTCGGGGGAGTGGAGCAAAATTCGAGCGAAAGGCCAAATCTAATAGTGTCCCTGACCCACGAGTCAGAGACAGATAAATCCCATTGATCGGCAAAAAATGATAAGCAGCCGCCAATCAAAGAATCGGGAGGGCGATTACCGAGACCGCCGGAAGGGGCGGCCCCTCCCGCCTCGAAAGGGCCGTTTGGTGGCAAAAGGGGGCCCCTGTCTGACCTGGCTGTCATGCTGCTGAGGTCCCCTGGAGTGGAAGGAATGCTGCGGGCGTTGTTGGAAGTAGGTAGAGTCGAAGCCTTGAAAGAAAGAGGAACGAAAGGACCCCTGAGGGTGATACTCCGACCGACGGGAGAGGGAAGGCAGAACCTTGCGGTGATCCTTCGTCTCAATAAGCAGGGGATCCAACTGCGAGGCAAACAACTTGTCACCAGAATAAGGCGATGAGGCAAGGTGCCATTTATTCCTGGCGTCTACTTGCCAATTTCGGAGCCAAAGAAGTCGTTGGGATGTTACCGATGTGCCAATCGCCTTGGCGGAGAACCTAGCAGCGTTAAGGGTGGCATCAGCGGAAAATTCCACAGCCACTAGGATCTTGTTGATATCCTGATGAGTGCGCTGGTCAGAAGAAGGAATCCGCTCTTGAAGCTGGCACAGCCATAGCATAGAGGCCCTGTTGAAAAAAGATGCTGCCGAGGATGCCTGGACCGCCCAGGCTGAAGCCTGATGACCCTTGATAAGAGTCCTCTTGGCTTTCTTTTCCTCTGGTCGCAAGTATTCCTCCGGTGGGCCCGTGAGGGGAGAGGAAGAGGAAAGAGCAACAACCGGAGAGTCCATGGAAGGAACTTGTAACAGGCTGGAGAAATCTGTGGCCATATTGTAAAACCTTCTGTCCAGATTATTAGGGACCAGACCGGAGCTTGGAAAGGACCACTGCCGCTTCACCACATAAGAGAATAATTTGGGGGCAGGGACCACTTCTGAGTGAACAGTGGGCTCCTGGAACAAAGCCGAAGTTGGGTCAGCAGGGGGATGGAGAGAGTCTGGGCCAGAGGCTCCACACCCCAAATGGGTGGTGGTCTGCGCCTTGTACAGGAGAGAACGAAACATACGGGGCTTGAAGAGGCCCACAAAGGCTGGCTGATCAGGCTCGAGCCCCTCGTCCTCTGAGAGGTCCTGTTCAGGAGCGGTCTCCTCCTCAGAAAGTGAGTCTTGGCTGGCTGAATCCTGACCATAAAGATCGGCCGTAGAATCCTCAGGGTGGGAACGAGACCGTGGCTGTGCTGGTTGAGCCCTTTGATCAGAAGGTGCAGTCGCAGCATGGTGTTGGAGGCCCTGGGCGATGCCGACGGATTGCCTCGGAAATGAGATCAGCCAAAGAAAGCTGCACATCAGGAGTGAGCTGGGAGCCCAGTGGCGCCTCCAGTGAGTGAGGAGCAGAGGAAGACAAATGGTCACTGGGAGCGGGAGACAAGGCCCGCTGGACCTGCATCCGCGGTTCCTCAGATTCAGATGGAAACACCGAAGCCACGTCAGTGGCATGTGGGGCATCCCCATGTAGAGACCTGTCAGGGGATAAGGCTGGTGTAGGAGCAGACTGCGCAGAGGGAGGAACAGGGCCGGAAGGAGGAGGAGCTGAAGAGGTAGCGGAAGAAGAGGGCCTAGGCTCTTGCAAAGCCCTGGAATGTGCCTTCTGGAATGCCTTCTCCATGGCCCTATGGCGTCTGTCTTCAGCCTTAGATGAGGAGGATCGCCTGGGCAGGGAAGAATTGTCAGAACCCGTTGCCCTGAGCTTGCCCTTATGGGAGGAAGAGGTGCCTTCCCCAGTGTCTTCGCACTGCCGTTTGCTCTTAGATTTGGTGCGGACCAATTTTTGGGCGGGAACGTTGGCCATTTTGATTTCAAATTAGGCGCGTCGAGAAGCAACGGGCAGCCGATAAAATGGCGAAGCTCCGGTAACAAGGAAAACCTCCCTTTTCGACCAAGCCTGGGCCCCAGTACTTGCGATTAGAGCCACTGCTGAGATGGGACGAAATGCGGCTTGCCCTGTGCTCTCGCTAGCTGTCTGGCTTGAGCGCGAGATAATTAGGTGTGGAATGCGACTTCGCGCCGATCAGCTGCTGAGCGGAGTCTTCAATGCAGCAATTCTCAACTGCCGCAATGAAAGCGGGCGGGAAGGCAGGGCAGAGCGCGGTGGAGCAGGCTTGTGCGTGCTATGGTGGAAGATCTAACAGCCAGCAATCCTTGCCGCTCCGCGGCCTTCAGCGGAATCAGGCAAAGCCCTTCGCGCTGGAACGGTGAAATCCACGATGACTAGAAGATGTGGAGAAAATCGCTAGGAACGAGAGAGAGAACTACAGACACATCTGTCCAGGAACAGACCAAGTCGAAAAACTGGACTGAAGCAGGAAGAGGTGGTGCTAAAGTTCCAGTAGACTTGATCCTAATGGATACCAGATGTGTCACTTCCCAGTCGTGACTGCCGTGGGTGCCAAATAGGAGAACAGCGACCTCGAGGCGGGTGGGAGGCAACCAAGACCGACGATCCAGATCAGCAGTGCGCAGGCGAGACGCAAGAAGGAAAGACAGGCGAGGCGGTCATTCTCTCACTCTCAAAAAATACTAGGCAGGATCCAGGATCCTGTCTCTCCGCTCACTGCACCTCGCCAAATTATTCCTAGCCTTGGTCTTGGGAAACTTTTAAGCTACAAACAGCATGAGTTGAAGAGGAATCCTTGCCTACCAAGAGCTTTCGTTATAGCAACTCCATGCTGCGGACCGTGAAAGCCTCCCCCTAGCACTTAAACTGCAATTTTGGGTGGGAGATGCCGATCTCCAAACATTTCTTGTTCCAGAATTGACTCCAAATTTGGGATTCAATTAGTACATATTTTCTTTTTATCCTGCATTAGGATACCAATATTAAAGCCAAAAACATAATATTTCATTTCTGACAGATAATACTTAACAATTAAGGTTCTGGACTAGTATAGGGAAATGCAGTTCCAGCTCACTCTCGGCTTTGGACCACTCACTCTCTCAGTCCAACATTTCACTGGGTTGTTGGGGAGAAAAATAGGAGAAGCCTTGAGCTCCTGAATAAAAGCCTGGATATAAATCTAATAAAGAAATAAAATATACATTAAACAGAGACAGCACATAGAAAAAGGGAGCATCAAAGTAATTAAAAAATAAAAAGTATTGAAGTACTGGTACTTAATTTTCTGTTAATTTATTTAAAGCTTTAAATAAATAAATAGATTTGGTTAAGGACATATTATGTGCACATCATCACCCAATCTATTCCAGGCAATTGAAGGGTCCTGCAGTAAGAGAGGGAATGCTCACAAAAACATTCACAAGTTATTGTTTAGGAATCTGAGAAACATCCTGGGTGCTTTTAAGTCAGACTTGAAGTTTTGTTCCAGCATCAGGACTAAATGGGACTTGTTCAGCCATGTTGTTGTTTCTCAATCCATTTTCATTTCATTTCCCTAACCTTGGGACTTAGGAGAGGATATTAGCCAATAAAGAAGGCATCAGTTTAATTACTGCTGCTATGGAGAAATTGGAGTTATGGTATAACCTTGCTATCAGTTATGCCTCATATTTAGGGAAGTACATAGTTAGACAGATAGGAGGATGCAAATCTGTACATTGTCTGGCTACAAAGCTCTTGATTGAACTTTATGATGGCTAATATAAAAACCCTCTGATTTTGTTTGTTCTGAATTTGCGAAATGTACAGGTATGCATTGTGTGTGTTAACACTGTTGAGCTTTTGGATAAATAACTGCATGTAAAAACTATGTTGCTTTCTTTCTGTTTGTTACCCTCTGCAGAAAGGCAGTCAAATGTTATTAGGAAACAAACAAACAAACTCAAGCCAATAGCTAGAGAAGTATAGCTTATGATTACAGTGTTCATGGACTTTGTTGAAGTGACTCCATTTCTGTTGCATACAATCTGCAGAGCTCTCTTCTGTGGCTATCTGTGCAGAGAAGGCTACAAAATAGCATCTACTGGATTTTTTCTCTTCCATTGTAAAATCCGCTGGGAGGATTGTGAAAAGAATTTTTTTTTACAAAAACCATCATTCCTTGAGCCAATTTTTCTTTACTTGAAATTACCACATCACCTACTTTATGGTCAGAGGTTGAAAAATTAGGTGGCATTATTTTTTCCAAGTTCTCTTTGGTCCCTCTGGCAGAACCAGCAAAGTATTTGAGATCTGTATTCTGTCAGAATAAAAAAAATTGACATATTCAGACTGAACGTCTGCTTTACTATATACTTGGGAAACAGATTCCCCTCCTTTCATATCTCATTCATTCTCTTAATACTCCTGAAATCTATGGAAGATAAACATGCAAAATTTGTTGTTTTCTACCACCATTCTAATTTTTCCATGATCATTTTAAGACTTTTCCACATTTTTATTTGGTTTGTATAAAGAGGTAGAGTGGTGCATATTAATCCTGCAGGTGATACTAAAGTGAGCTAATGTTCTAAAACACAGAAATATTTTTTTGGTGAAATTAAAATAAGGGCAAATAGAAAGAGGTAAATTTTTATAGGTCTACAGGCTGCATTATCAACAGGAATAGCATTCCTAATAATTGGATTAAAAAACCTTATTAGGTTTTTTAAAATAAAACCTTATTAAGTGTCATCAATGATGCGTCCTCAGCAAAGTGGATGGAGGTATTATCTGGATGCCACAATCAAACATTTTCACTAATTTGGTGAATTTGGATTAAAGATGGAAACAAATCTTCACAGTTTGTGCTAGTTGGTGTAACTAACATCTTTGAAATTAGAAATAAAATGGGAAGCAATCTTGATGAATTAGAGAAAGGGCTGAATATAACAGAATTAGATTTTGATAGAGAAAAATGTAACACTCTTCATTTAGGAAATCAAATTCAAAGGTACAGATCAGGGACAGTGGATTCCTGGTTTCATAGTTCTACTGGAAAAACTGAACTGATTCTGTTGATCACAAACAGAGTGTGAGTCAGCAATATAATGTGGCTTCCAGAAATGCAAATACAATCAATGTAGTTGATAGGAAATAAATTATAAATCAATAATTATTGATTTATAATTCATTATTTGTAAATTAACGCTTTTGTGCATGGTTTAGATTCCTCCCAAACTATTTTGCCAGTTATGGGCCCCCATGCTTTAAGAATTCAGAGAAATTGAAATTATCTAATCCAGCATGCTATAGTGGCCAACAAAGTATCATAACAGCTTTCTCCCATCCAAATCTCCGTCAACTGATATTGAGAATAATGCAGTCCAAATACAGTATATTCATTACATGTAGCAACCATGTAATTTTTATAAATAACATTTTTTAAAAAGTATATTATTTATGATGTCATTAAAATGCCAATAATCAATGAAACAAATTATTATATTTATAGATATCTTAGCTCCTATAATATTCTTGATTATTTTCTTTTTCCCTATGTGTCCTTTATTAGAAATGAGAAGCCGCTTGTGAAGAAGCAATTTTTGGCCATGTACTGTTGTACAGGGAGTAATATTGCACATTTTATGACCTAGTTCCTACTATGATGGTATACAATATCTGCATCCAGTGGTGGGATTCAGCCAGTTCGCACCATTTCGGGAGAACCGGTTGTTAACTTTCTGAGCAGTTTGGCAAACTGGTTGTTGGAAGAAATCATTAGGCCAGAGAACCGGTTGTTAAATTACTTGAATCCCACCACTGTCTGCATCTATCTTATCAAGGTTCTGTTAGGTCAAACCACACAGAAATGCTCTTCCACTTAGAAAATAGATGAGAAATATGTTAGCTTTTCCTTGGCAATTTTCTTCCTTTCTTTATTGTATTTTTTTATTGCATTACTATATTATTTGTTTACAAGCCATTATTTTCCAGGTTCCTTTCTACATGTATCTGAAACAAAGGTTTACACTTCAAAGAAAAATTGGAGAAAAGTCTGTTTCCCCATGAATCTAAATAGCCTCAAAGTGTCATATATAATAATGGTTTTCATTAAGATTTGGTTTAAGAAGTTATTGTAGAGTACGAGGTTCAGCCATATTAAGCAGCTAGGGTTGCCAGGTCTGCTTCCAAAAAATAGCAGACAAGCGGGGGGGGAGGGGGTTAAGTAGTAAAAAAATAAAAAAAAATTTACAATTAAATTATATATTTTCTTACAAACATTTTAACACGTATTAAAATAATCACTTCAAAACTTTACTTAAAATTCAAAACATCAAATATATTATAATAATATGTAAAATATTAAATTACATTTTACTTTGCTGTCGTGTGTATTTTTTATTTGACTGCGCAGCTTTGATCAATTCTTTGTGTTTAAGGAATAATTCTTTAATTTCAGTACAACGTTGAAAAATATTAAAAAATATACAAAGTTCACTTCGAACTGATGGTACAAGCAGTCGGTTACGTTCGTCAGTCCACAAATTTCCCATGACGCTGAAAATTCGTTCAACGTTTGCATTTGATACCGGAATTGATGCACAATACTGGAACAGTTTCAGTAAACTCGGAGCTGGCTCTTTCTTGAAAAAGTACGTCCACTTATCAAGGGATAAATCGCCCTGCAGATGAACATAAACTTCTTCTAAGGCAGAAATTTCATCGAAGAGAGTGTTGGGTGGAAGTTCTTCTCGCCATGCTGATAATAACCAGATGTTCATCATTTCTTCTAAAGTTGGAGGATTATTGCGATCAATTAGATTGAAACAACTTAGCGTCTCATATACTGAATCGGTGAAATTATACCACTTTTCTAGGTACGCAATGGCTCTTTGATACACGTTGATGGCTTCTTTCTTGAACTTTTGCACGGCATTCTCAGGCAAGTGTTTTTTACGTAAGGCAAATAAAACTTTTCATTCCAAAAAACTGCTCATCGTATTTTTTTGCAAAGAATCACGCAGCTTACACATGATAATGTGAAGATCACATGCAAGAATTTTCTTGCTTTCCAGCTTCAGTAGGGTGTCTTGCATTATTGACATGAAGAAGTGCGTGAAATATAAATACAATTCTGAAATTGTTGGTTCATCGTCCTTTGCAAGTTCATTTTCCTGATCCGAAATAAGGTTCCAGATAACCTTATGGCACTCATCAGATCCAAGAGAAATAAAATACTATTTTAGAGGTATCCAGTTTAAAATAAGTCTTTCGACCGCTTTAAACAAACTTAACCAACGTGTTGGAACATGGCGCAAAACTTCATGGAATTCTGACTCACAAAACTCAACAAATGATTTCAACTCTTCTCGTTTCTTCGCAGAATTCGAAAATTCGGCAAAAACCTTCAGCAC